ATCATTCTATCTGCAGATGAACAGCATGTCATGAAAACCTAGGTCATTAAAGGATGTTTTGAATTACTTGCTTAAACATAAAAGTATTAGTTCCATTACATAGGAAAAACAAGGCCACACACACACGCACGCACGTGYGCACGTGCGCACTCACACACACACACAGACACACACACAAACAAACAGCAGAACCCTCTTTCTCTTGCTATTCACATTTTTGCAACAAACCTGATAGCTGGTTCAGAATAATCAACAAAAAAAATGCAAAAACAATGTTTTTGCACACCTTTRAACAATCACAAACATGGCAGATTTGTGCAACACAGAAATAAGATCCAGAAAATTCYATTTGAAATGTGGCACAAAAGCTAATTTTGGGAGAAGCTGCAGGTTTAAACCTCAGCCCGCAACAGTGTCAGAGAATATGACTAATGACTTGAGGGGCCTGAAAAAAGTCAAAGGTGACGAAATAGTTCAGGGAAAAGTTGAGGTGTGGCACAAAAGGATTTGGGTTAAACAAAGGGGAAAAGACAATGAGAAGGCTTGAGGAAAACAGCATGTTTAAAATCATAGAAAACAGTTTTGGTAACACAAAGTCAAATTAATCAAGCTAAGATTTAGCAAAAGTTGGAAGTATCTTATTTAGTAGCACCTTTAGTATAAAGTTCTTCTGTTATCAATTGTTGCACACAAAACTACAACACTGATCCATGCATTTGTAGTCCAACCATTTTTTGAGCCTACATACGTCATCATGTACTGTATTTGGGTAATTCCTGTTTATGGTTTGTTGGCACACCTCATACAAGTGCGAGTAGTGTTTCCATCACCATTTTTAACCAATCAGTAGAGAACATCTGGTAGGGAAAGCAGCCAAAACAAAGCAAAACCCATGAACTACCAGAAGGTGTAATGCAAAATGCTCCAGAAGAAAAAAAAGTGATTTATAAATCAAAGCATGTATATGTCTCCTGATAAAATCCCAAAACAAAGCAATTTATTTGTATAAAATTGGTAATATATAGAAAATTGAATGAAAATGACATTTTGAACATTTTTTCCCCTATGAAACCCATGAATTACCAACAATCAATCAACAAACAATAACCGTGAATCAACAGACTGAGAGATAATTTTGGTATTTCTGGCTCTGTTTTAAACTGGTTCGCCTCTTATTTAYCTGAAYGGTCTTTTACTGTTTTTATGAATCAGGTTTACTCTGTTGTTGCACCGCTGTCTTGTGGGGTACCCCAAGGTTCAGTTTAGGGTCCAATCCTCTTTTTATTGTACCTGTACCCTTTAGGAGGCATTTTAAAATGTTACAGTAATGTGTCCTACCATCTGTATGCTGATGACATACAKTTGTACTGTTCCTTTCGACCCTCTGAGTTCTTCAAACTATCTGAACTCAGTAACTGTCTGTCAGAAGTCAAAATRTGGCTGAACAACAACTACCTGCAGTTAAATGCAAACAAGACTGAAACTCTTATTATTGCCCCTGATGATAAAATCCCTGTAATCAGGCAGCACCTTGCATTTTTAACCCCTTCAGTGAAAAATAGTCTCAGAAATCTGGGTGTTGTCTTTGATAGTTCTATGTCTTTTGACAGCCATTGTAAAATTTTAGTTCGTAACTGTTTTTATCATTTAAGGAACATTTCAAAGCTGAGATCTTTTGTGTCACAGAAGGAACTAGAGATGGTTGTTCACGCTTTTATTTCTTCTCGTTTAGATTACTGCAACAGTCTTTTTACATGTCCAAACAAATCCTCCTTGACTCAGCTGCAGTGAGGTTATTAACAAAGACCCACAGGAGAGCCCACATTACACCTGTTTTAGCCTCTCTGCACTGGCTCCCTGTGACTTTGAGGAATCATTTTAAAATTTTAGTTTCAACTTTCAGAGCACTTCATGGTCAGGCCCCCAAATACATACTGGACCTTCTGAAGCCTCTCTGTCCATCCAGGACTTTGAGGTCTTCTAATCAAATGCTGCTGGTGGTCCCTSGAACCCATTATAAAACCAGTGGAGACAAAGCTTTTCAGGTGGTGGCCCCGAGGCTCTGGAACGCTCTCCCTCTGTCCCTTCGCTGCTCAGATTCTACTGACTCTTTTAAGAAACATCTTGAGACATTTTTATTCAGACAGGCTTTTAGTTAAGTGATTTTATTGTGTTTTAATTGTTGTTTTTATATCTGTGATCTGTTTTATTGTTTTTAATGATTTTTGCTTTCTGTGAAGCACTTTGTGATGTTTGTGTCTGTGAAAGGTGCTATTGAAATAAAGTTTACTTACTTACTTACTTACTAGAAGTACCTAAACGTGGTCTCAGGACCTCACCGAGGACTCTAAATATTGACTGCTAAAAGCACATTTTTACAAAGTCCTCTCAAATGGATTTAAAAAATAAGATTCAGGCTGTTTTATCAGCATGCCTTGTCACGTAGCCTATTAGTATTGATTGTGTATTTTAAAGAGGAATGGATRAGGTAGCATTTTAGTTGTTTTATGGGTTTAAACTGAACCATTGCTTCAGAAGAGCCTCAGATTTYGGATGTTCTGAATTAGCCCTTCCTCAGTATTTCACTGGATGAACCGTTTGGAAAATGCAACTTTCAAAATCCCCATTTTTTCATCTTCCAAAGAAGAAGAAGCAACAATTTTCTTTTCAAGGCTTTTCCATGTGGTTTCTCCTGCAGCACCTTCAGCTTGGGATTCAGCGTATTCTTCCTCATTTCATTGCTCTGAGGACATGTTTTACAGCCGTGTCCGCTGCTCGGCCCAGTGTAACGAACAGCCATCTTTCCCTGCCCCTGGGCACAACTGAAACTGTCACCTGCCGAAACCTCTGGTAGCATCACATTTGCATGGGCCTGCGTCCACAAACTGTCACTGGGGCTTACCCAACCCTGTCTGAAGCATTCCTTGCTCCTCACAGAGAACAAACGCGCAGCCAAAACTCACCTGAGCTGAGCGGCAACTGACTGATAGCTGACTGGCACCCCCCACCCCCCACCCCACCATCACAAATCCTTAGGAAAG